AATAAATTAAGAATATATTATAGATTGATAATATAAAACAATAAAACCAAAAAATAAAACAATATAAAAAGCTATAGTCGAGTTCCCCGACTATCAGATACCCGTTACTCAGCTAGTGGAAGTGCAAACGAGAAAATTAAACATTTTCTGGTATATATAATATAAGTTATAAGATTAAGATAAGTTGAGTTATAGAGTTTAGAACTTCAAACTTAGGACATTTCTTAATTTTTTTTAATTTATACATCATCATCACAACAAAAAAATTAAAAAAAATAGAATGAGTATTCCTGATTCTTAGCAGTGTAATGTCGGTGGTCTATTCATATTCTGCTCTTTAGGCAAACACTTTCCTTAGTTAATGCTACCCACTCGTCGGCCAATTAAAGCCCCACTTTTATGGCGAATTAATCGTGCCCGCTCATTGTCGTATTTAAGCCTTATTAAAAGCAGATCTCTGAGCGATTCTGTTCCAATCAGTACGCTACCGAATTGGCCAAATCCGCTTAATAGCTGGCTCCAAAAGGCCGGCGATTGATGTGGGCTTGAAGCGAACTATCGATTACCAGATTGGGCTAACAAAAGTGGGATTTTCGCATCGCGGATTTCCGCTCCCAAGCTACTACAGTTTCCAAACTACACCCAATCGATCATGAAGTGGCGTCTCAGATCAGAAGAAGGTCATTCGATACCGCCGCCAGGATGGGAAAAGGAAAAGGGAAAAGGGGTTAGCCCCCGAGTCTGCCGATTAGCATGTTAAGGCAACGGTTCGCGGCGGCTGCTTAAGGTCTATAATTAAGCGACATAAACTTGGGTATTAGGCGCTAAATACACAGGGAAACAAAAAAATAAGTAAAGTAAACCGCTCGAGTGGGTGAATGATAAAGGAGGAGGCGGGGAGAAGGAGGCGGAGGTGCGCCTCCTCTCGATTTGCATAACTGTTCGTTTGGGCCCAGAAGTCGGGGGATATGGATATGCCATGGCTCTGGGTTTGGGTTTGGGTTTGGGCCTGGTTATGGGTGTTGGTATTGCTATCGGCATGGGCTGCATTCGAAAAACAGACAGACGGCATATGAAAACGGAGGCAAACACACGCACACACCTGAATTTACCTGGCCACTGCACCTGTCCACATAAGCGACCTCATCGTTGGGCTTTCATTTGCTGCTAAGAAAGGGTAAATAGCGCGCGTTACTACTTATCCCCGCAAAGTAGCAGTACTATGAAACAAAGCATTACCCATAAATAGTTCTTACTTGCTGAAAAGTAGTGACTTCTTGCTTATATTAATGGAAATGCAATAGGGATGCACTATACGGTGTAAGAATATCTATTAACTACTTAATGGAAATATACTCCTCTTTTAAATAGAGTTGTGTTATTATTAAATGGCTGGAAAATTCAAAAATAATTTAAATGTGGAAGCGTCAGAGCATTTGAGGTTCGGCAGTTGCCGCGTCAAGTTTTACTTTCTTCATTCCGTTTTCCCCCCGTAAAAACACAAAAGAATTTCCATCAATAATGTCAATAGTGGTGCTGCAACAACAACATTAACACCGCCATAACAACAAAAGCAATGGCAACAACACCAAGACACTCCTCTTGGCTGTTGCCTTCGGATTCTTCTACCTCTTCTGCGGCCAAAGACGAATTATGGCCATTAAAGCTGCTTGGGGTTTTAAGTTATTAGGCAACTTGAATTTCAAACTGCACTTGACAAACGCACAAATAAAGAAAAACAATCTCGAATGCGCAGTCAGTCACACAACTGCAGTGGATTTAATCAGTTAATAATCTAGGCTTAAAACTTGATTTAATCAAATAGGGGAGCAATCTTCCACAGTGCTTAAAATTGGATTTAAGGTCAGTGTTCAGCGAAGTCCATTCTATCACCCACAAACATAGATATTCCACCCACTTGCTCACCTGTTGAATTTTAGGGGAGCATTTAACCCCTTTAAATCACCGATACCCCAATGCTGTGTTTATGCATTGCTCATACGTCATTAACTTCAGTGACTTTGATCTATATTTATTGAGTCTCTGGCCTTTTTCTATGGAAATGCTGCGAAGGGCAATCGATAAAATAAGGTAGAGTTGGATTGACTGATAATAAGCCTTAAACTGCTCATGCGATATGATATGATAATATATATGACAATATATTTCTGAAAGAGGTTCTTCAGATTACCATAAAACCTGGCAATCATTATTTCTCTCTAGATTTCCCTCTATTTGTTTTCCATCTGAAGCTGACTTAAGTTTTTCTTACCTTTATCAGCTATCCGCAAATATTAATTAATGTTTAGTATTTGAATTATTACACCATTTTATTTTTAATTTAAAGTAAATTACATAAAACATAAAATATACATGTACGTCCCATTTCCTAACATACGCCATCTGTTGGCTATGAAAACTGAGCAGACCCTCTATTAGATGGCGCCACTCAGCCGAGCTTGTCTCTAAGCGGAGACAACCAAAAAGCTTGTTTTTAGACAAAGTTTAATTCAAACCCATTTCATTTTAAATCGAGTACTACAAGAATATTAAATTGGAATATGTTGTAGTTTATTAAATATTATTGCTAATGATGCTATTTAACGTGTACCAAAATCCATAGGCAGGATCGTTAAAAGCTGCTTTCCTCTTTTTAACCAGCCCGCTTCATCTTGACCATTACCATGGCAATAACCATTTCACAACCGACCGCCTTGATGCAGTCATCCCATAAATACACCACTTACTACCAATTTCTGTTGGGGAAAAAAACAAGAAGGCGACAAAATGGCCAGCAGTCCGAGGAGTAGAAACTGTCATTGGTTTGCAGTCAGTTGGGATTGCTAAATGAAAATTGGACTCGGAATACACGAGGAAAAATATTTCAGCCAAAAGTCCTCAACATAAGTATCAATATGGCATATAATCATAGCATATAATCATAGCACATAATATATTATAATATATTATTGCAAATCTGTATAATAAATCATACATTTTAGTACAAATCTACAAGAGTTTGTTCGGTGCATTTGAAAAACTTCCAGTCACGTCAAAAGCAAGGCTCTAAGTTTGTCAGCTCCCAAAGCCGAACTCCAAATCCATTTCCATGTCCACCACGATTCATTCATTAATTCAGGCAAAGCGTCATAAATGCCACGCGGTTTTTATTTGTTTTTTCGTTCAGGCCGGTTGATTTCGTCGTTTGTTTTTGATTTAATTAAGCAGAGTTTTGCCATTTTGCAATGTTTTTCTCGGCCGTTCCGCGAAGCATTTGCAAGTCAAATGCAGCGGCGTTAATTAATTGAATGGATCGGAAAATAACGCATACGCAGCGTGCGCCGCGAAGAATTCCGCGCTTGCGATCCATTGGGCAATCGCTTTGAATTCTCCCATCCATTCTGTGGCCAGTGGCTAATTAGGCCCGTCATACGCGTCCAAAATTCGCGGCATTTTGCACCCATTTTGGAGCACACGCCGCCCGATCTCCAAATGCGGCTAAAGACTCGCCACTCGATCGAAGCCATAAAAACAAAGACGGGGATCGAACGGCTGATCGCCTTAAATCGGCATTTAGTATGTGGCAATTTGGCATTCGAGCTTGCCACCCTTCTGATCCACCGACCGATTGCTGGAAAATTGCTTTCCACCTGGCCAAAATGTGGGGCAGTGGCTGGGAAATCTTTTATTTATGAAGCCAGGCGACACACCGGCCACAACACCGATCTGTCCGCATCTGTCCGCATCGAATTGGACATGGAACACTTGTTTGGCAGTCGCCGGCCACTGGCAACAATTGCTCCTATTGACTTAATATTTGCTAATAGATTTCACATAAATCACATTCCACTGGCGTGATTTATGCATGAACTGTGATCGCAGCTGACTCTCCGTCTCTTTCGAGTCAGTTAGTGCTGTCTTTTTCTCATTGTGCTAAGTTTTTTCGAGATTTTGGTCTTTGAACCAAGGCAGTTGCCAGTAGAAATCGAGCATATCCATATTTTAAGGAAATAAATGATCTAATCATTAATCTTCCCTCCATTAATCTGCGCTAAGGATGTTGTAAGCTCGAGGAGCATTCTCAACAATTTGTAGCACTGTAAATTTTGTGATGACCCAATGTCATACCTCCATACCCCGCCCAACCCATGGGGTTAATCAAGGCGCTCATAAAAAATCCCACGAACTGCCAGATGCTTAACCGGCAATTTCAGCCGACCAAGTCGATGGATCGATGGAGAGCTGGAGCTGTAGCTGGAGCTGGAACTGGGGCCTCCACTCGATCCAGTCCCCCTCTCCACGCACGAGTGTCCTCGAGACGAGACGGCGTGGCTGCGGCTGCGGCTGAAATCACCCATCCAATATGGTCAAATGTGGCACGCAGCGGCATTCGAGGCACGATAAAGATAAATATGAAGCTCGCCTAGATATTTCGACCAGAGGGGATTGCTTGGTGTTTGGATTTGGTGTTTGCCGATTTGGCAAGCGTTCATTATGCAATTTGAAGAGAATTTCCCAGCCTCACACCGAGAATTGTTTCGAGAATACTCAAATATAGCATCGAAAACAATTAGACGGCATTCTCCGTTGGATAATTAAGTTGTTAGTGGCAAGGCTGCATGTTTTCGAGGGGCGTGTCACCTGGTGCTGTGCCCAAATTGGCCAGCTAATCAGCGATTTCAATTAGCGTGCGCTTTCCGAATTCGAGCCACAATGGCAAATGGCACCCCCAGAGGTAAGGCCGCCTTTCCTGCGACTCCTTAGCCGGCAAGTGGTCTGCCTTCGGATCGGAGCTCCCAACTCCCAGCTCCAGTTCAGGTTGCGTCATCCGCGTTTGGGGGCTCTCCAATCCGAGCTGCGTCCACGAGAATTGCAGTTTCACTGCAGCCGAGATACTTCACAAATTGGTGTTGCTTGGCCCGCTTTGTTGACTGCTGTCTGCCGACTGTTTGTCCGTCCGAGGCTCAGATCGAAATCTAGTCAAGATCTGTCCGCTCGACCAGCTGTCCACCTGTCCTCCGGTCCGCAGTTCGCAGATCGCAGTTCGCAGCTCGCAGTCCGCTCGAGAGTGCGAGTGCGTGGTCTGCCATCGAGGGGTATAAAAGTAACGCAATGCACACAGTCCACTTACAGTTGCAATTCTTCCTCCAAGCCAAGTGATTCGTTATCCATCGCTAGCATGAAACTTCTGGTGAGTGAGAAGGGATGGAATGGAATGGATACGGCTTAGGGATTATCAGATAAAGCCAATGGTGTTGACTGACTCCGAAGGGATATACTCAGTTTGCCAAGAGGACTAAATACACAACAGGATTACCAATAGATTGCCCAAATCCTATATTGATTTCCTGTATCAAAAAGATTAACATGAATATTTGGTTTTCATTTATACCACCAGATCCTCACCTCTCTGCTGGCTGTGGCCACTGCTGCTCCTGGACTCCTTGATTATGGACACTCGGCTCCGGACTACAGCTACGCCCATGCCGCTCCTGCCATAACATATGCAGCCGCAGCTCCAGTCATTAAATCCTACGCTGCTCCAGCCATCACCTATGCGGCTCCAGCTCCGTTGATCAAGTCCTATGCCGCTCCAGCCATCAGCTACGCCCATGCTGCTCCTGCCATCAGCTACGCCGCTCCAACGGTGGTCAAGTCCTATGCTGCTCCTGTGGCGGTCAAGGTGGCAGCTCCGGCCACCAGCTACTCGCACTTCAGCTCGGTAAGATCGGTATCTATTTGATGCAACACTTTAATCCTAACAGTATTATACAACATTTAAGTGTACTTCACTGTATTCTCATTAAAACTTACAATATCTTCTGTATTTACAGGTTGTTTCCCATGCCACGCCCATCGTGAAGTCCTACGCAGCGCCTGCCATCACTTATGCTGCTCCAGCTCCGGTGATCAAGTCCTATGCCGCCCCAGCAATTAGCTACGCCCATGCCGCTCCAGCCATCAGCTACGCTGCTCCCACGGTGCTCAAGTCCTACGCGGCCCCAGCCATCAGCTATGCAGCTCCTGCCCTGGTCAAGTCCTACGCTGCACCAGCCCTGTCCCTGGGTGGATACGGCTACCACTAAGCTCCGCACCGAAACCAAAACACTCCAAATCCAAATCGATCCCAGATCGGAGTTGGACCAATGGAAGCAATTAACTGCGAGGAGTCGCAGCAGCCGAGCACGCTCTCCCACTTTTCCAATCTGTAGTCGCAAAATCTTCACAATCTTCTCTGTTTGCTTCTTATTTATTTAAGAACTATTAATATTCTCTCAAATGCACAATAAAGAAAAATTCTATTTTTCAAATCCCACTAGTAATATCTACGATGGCAAAGGTTATAGTGACCAGAAATAAGCTCAGGTTGTTCAGGACCTTGGCCAAATTGCGCCAGGGATTCTCCTGTAAGTCATCATGGTCGGTGGACTGCAGAAATAATTATCATTCAGTTGTTTAATAGGGGCTTGTCTACTCACATTCGCAAGTCTTAATCCTAGAATAAATCGCAGCACAACGTTGTTTATCAGGCCAACCAGCCAGTCAGGCGCCTTCGATCTGGGTGGATACAACACCAGCCAAATAAGGCAGATGTGCAGAATGTAGCAATAGGTGGTGGCCATCATGATAACTTTATAAGCAGTCACTGTGGCAAAAGTGTAAGTTAAAGCGATACTTAAGAAATGAAGATGGAAAGAGGCATAATGAATTGATTGCTATCTTACTAATGGGCGGCACATAATGCGGAGAGGCGTAGCGCGTCATGTACATTAAACCCCAGCCTGAAATCAGCAGGGCGATAAGGATGAGCGAACTCCTACGCGTAGAACGCAGTATAAAGGACATGGTTACGAACATCTGGCAAGCTGAAATAAGACAGTAATGTGTTATTCTATAGTATTGAAAGTTATATTGAAATCATTTTACCAATCAACGGTGTGTAGAAGATGGTCATGTAGAAGCTGCGATTCCCTTGCAACGTAAACTCAATGGCCACATCGCCGGTCATTTTCTGCATCATACCCTTGGGATTGTATCGCCTCTGCGAATCGTCGTCCACCATCACCACGGACACTTTCGTGATCGACCAGCCGGATGGCGTGTTCACGTGCTCATTGGGCGCAATGGGCTTGCGCAGATCATCGTAGATTAGAGCCACGTTCTCCTGCCCCTCCTGGCCAATGAGACCCAGTTCGATGTCGCAAGTCACTCGCTCGCCTGGCCAGTTTCGGGCACTGTCCACACACCAACTGGACAGCTGGAGGTTTTGTGCGTACAGGGTGATGCTTCCGTTGGCGTAGACCCTCAGCTGGTAGGATTGGAGGACCTCACCCATGGATTGCAGGGCACCGTTGAGGACGTTCATGTGCGGCTTCCAAATTCGCAGGTCAGGATGCTCGAAGGATTCCAGCGAGTCGAAATCCTTGGGTTTCCAGCCAAGTCGACTGTCCCTCCAGTGCTGCATGGATAGACGAATGTATCGTTACTGTTCCAAAATAAATATTTGGCTATCGGGCTTATCGTTCATTACCATCATCATGTGCATGCGGGTCTGAAGCATGGAATTGGTTTGCTCGTAGGCGAGGGATCGCGTTTGGAAATGGAACAATATGGAGCTGAGATTAGCTGGCAAGCTAGCATTTTCTGCCTGGATGTTTAGTTGGTTGAGCAGCTTTTCAATTTTTGTTTCCTCCTTCTCTATCGGTGCGATTTCCGACTCTGCAAGGGATCCACATATAGACTTATAAGTTTACTAGAGATTACACATCCTCACCATAACCATCAAAGCCACAGTCGTAGAACCATCGCGCTGTGTTCGAACCAAAGGAGCTGAAACTCAGATAGTTGATGGTCAGCGGTGCCTCATCGATGAACTGCAGCAGGGGCTCCTTCTTGAAGCCGGGTATATAAACAAACAGCTCGCCATCTGGAATTATACTGGGCGTTGGAGACCAGGGAATACCCGATTAGATGGCACAACTCACTCTGCGTTTGGACAATCTCAATTGGCGTCGGATCGTATACCGATACCAAGTTCGCCTCTTGACTCGTGGCCACCCTCCTCATCCCCATTGCATTCCGTATTGCGGAAAACGTATTTCCGCCGGCGCCTATCACTGCAAACGGAATATCAAAGTGTAGTTATCAAAGGAATTACTAGGCAGGGGTCATTACAAGGCCGCGCTAGAATCATCACAAAGCATTTGAATACTAATTCCTATTGACTTCACTCACCGATCTCATAAACGCGATCATTCAGGCGTGGGTGATTCGTCACCGAGAGCAGGATGTGCGCGTCCATGGCGGTCAGGACGTAAAATTTCAAATGCAGCCGCTCCCCGGCCTTCCTGTTGTTGTTGCTCAGCTCGTGCAGTATGTAGAACTTCCGGTAGCCATATCCTGTATTCGGAACCGATAAGCTTTCGCAGGAATCCAGCTGGGCGAAGCTCACGTTGAATCTGGTCGACGATTGGGCGGATTTCGCTTGGTCCATCAGTCCCAGTAACAGTACAAGGTACAGGCAGCCCTTGATCATCGTATAGATGTGGACTTCCATTGCTTACAGCGGTTTGGCGACGACTGAATTAGGGAAGGCGGCTAAAGTGAATTGATAAGAAACGATCAACTAAATTTTGTCGATAAATTTGCTGTTTACTTAAATTGCCTTACATTACATTGTACATTACAATCGCTACGTGCCTCCCCGCCTGAACATGTATTCTATGCTATAGCTTGTAATTGTAGTCTTTAAAATTAACTTTATTTTTGCATATTAAATCCTTTTTTTATAAGCGATTTTAAAACTAGCTAAAAGAAACCTAAAAATGCGCGCCAATAAAGATTTGTGCTTTTTCTGCAGCGTAGTGTAACCGTTGGCGCGGTATTTTGGCTCTCAACGCGTACGGTCTTACTGAACTTCAGACCTGTTATCAACATTCAGAATTAGTCAATTTTGCATAGTTTAATTTAGATTTGTTGGCTTGCCCTCCGAACCCAGGTTACTACCGGTGTGGCAAAGGTGCCGCTGCTGACCCCGAGGGACATGCCCGATGACACGCAGGATGCCAAGGCCCAGAAGTTGGCCGCGGCAAGGAAAAAGGTGAGACAACCAGTGCCACACACAATTGTTTTGCTCTTGTGACGTGGACACATATGTATTGGCCCACTAATATTGATTTTGTTTAACACGCTTATGTGGACACAGCTGAAGGAGTACCAGCAGCGCGCCAGCAACAACAATGGTCAGCCGGGAGCGGAGGAGTCGGTGGCTGCCACCACACAATCGCCCTCGTCCACGGTGAGCATAGCCAGCAATCTGTCGGAGCGCTCAGATAGCGAGATAAATGTGAACGGGGGAGGAGCAGGCGGTACTCCGCAGACCGAGCAGTCTGTCTTGCCCACAGCCGCTTCTTATTTTGCGCAAAACGAGTCCGAACACAATGGCGGACTGGCAGATCCATCTAGCTTGCAGGCCATCCAGGTGATCATCGCCGAAAAGGCCCAGCTCAATGCGGAGCTGACAAAGGTTCGTCTGGCCTGCCGGGAACGTGAGCTTGAGCTGGAGGAGCTTCGCACACTCAAGGATCAGAATCAATTACGCCTGGAGCAGCTACAACAGCACTGCCAGGATCAACAGTCGACCGGCGAGCAGCACCGACAGCAGTACGCGCAGCTGCAGGCACAACTGCTACAGTCGCAGGCACAAATCAAGGACCAACAGTCGCATCTCAACGAACTCGAGGCCCAGCTGAAGCAAAGCAACCAGCGACACGAGGAACTGCAACAACAGCTTTCCCAAAAATCCAACGAACTTGAGATGGCGCAGCTAAAGGTGCGACAGCTCTCCGACGAGTCTAGCGTCACCACAGACAACCGAGTGGAGTCGCTGGTCCAAACGCAATACATGTACGAGCAACAGATACGCGACCTCCAGGCCATGGTGGGTCAACTAACGCAGGACAAGGAGCAGGCAGCTGGCCAGTATCAAAACTATGTACAGCATCAGAGCGGCGAAATCGCCAAGCTCAACGAACGAAACACGGAACTCTCAGAGGAACTGAACTCTCTAAAAGAGCGGGAACGCCAGCTTGTGGAGCACGTGGGTGTCTTGGAGCGAGACATACAAAAGAACATCAGCCTCCAGGCCCAATTTAAAGAGGCCAGTCAAGTGGAACCGTCCAAGGAAGAAAGCAGCGACCAGGTAAGTACAAAGTCGGATAAATAAGGAAACCTGTTTAGCCTCTTCCTTAAATTTCAGAAAGAACTGAAAGATGAACTGGCTGACTTGAAAGAGCGCCTCGCCGACTTCGAGTTTGAGCGCCACGAATTCCAGCTAAAGATTAAATCGCAGGACGATCAGCTTCAGGTAAAGGACTCGGCCTTAGAAGAGTTGGAAAAGCAGCTCGAACGCCTGCAGGCTGAGCAACCCGATCAGTCCAAGCTGTTGGCCACCATGGAGTCGGACAAAGTGGCCGCATCGCGTGCCCTAACCCAGAACGTAGAGATGAAGAGCCAGTTAGACGAACTGCAGCAACGATTTGTTCAGCTGACGAACGACAAAGCCGAACTGGTCATCCGCCTGGACTCGGAAGAGTTTGCCAACCGAGAAATCCGCCAGAACTACAACAGCATGGAGCAAAGGCTGCAAGCCACTGAGGAGCGCTTCAAGTTTAAGGACGAGGAAATGATTAGACTATCGCACGAAAACGTGGAACTGCAGCGTCAGCAGTTAATGCTGCAACAGCAGCTGGACCGTCTCAGGCATTATGAGGTGGGTGGAATTGAGATTGAAAGCAAGAAAACTGACTTGAATATTACATTTTGTTCTTCTTTTAGGCAAAGGCTTATCACAACGGTGAGATAAAAGAAAGAGAAAATGGAGGAGATGCATCGGAAAATGAAGCAGATGAAGCGAAGGATGTTGATCATTTGCATAATCATCCGCACGATCACTCTCATGAGCATTCCGACGCTCATTGTCATGATCATGACCACGATCATTCCCATGATCATGATCATGCCCATCATCCACATGATCATCCACATGATCATCCTCATGATCATCCTCATGATCATCCACATGATCATCCTCATGATCATCCACATGATCATCCTCATGATCATCCACATGATCATCCACAAGATCACGTCCACAACCACGACCACAGACCAGCAGCTAAAACGCTGCCCACCACAGAGGCCGTGGAACGGTTGCAATCGCGATTCACCACACTGATCAGCCAGGTCGCCGACTTGACGGAGGAGAAGCACAGCCTAGAACATCTGGTGCTCCAGCTGCAGAGCGAAA